CTCAGAAAATGTTGATTTTTATTTTTTTAATTTAATATTATTGGGCTTAAATGTCGTTACTCGGGGTCATGGCATGGCACACTACAGACATTATTGACTTTAACTGTTACAGGACTAAAATTCATCTTTTCCCTCACCCCTCCCAAACAAGGAAATGCAAAATATTTGTCATGTTTACATCACAATGGTATTGGTAATCAAATTAAATTTCTAATCACATTTATCTGAAAGGAAGTCCTACCCTAAGTTAACTTGGAGGAAAAATGTACTGGTAAGAGTTTTTCTTTTCTGTGGAGAAAAGAAGGATTTAGCACTCTATATTCAAACTCACTTCCCTACAAATCTAGGGATATTATCCTGAGCAGTGGACAAGCTCATTAGTGACACTGATTATTTTTCTTTTCTTGGACATTTTTCCAGAGAAAAACATCAAAAGGAACAGGAACTGAACAAAGGATTCTTTGGGAAAGCCTTGCTTTTCCAACATTTCTCCATGGCTTTTGCATCATTCTCTTTTTTGTCCTTTTCTTGGTTTTATTAAACATCACTAATGATGTTTCTTAATCAAAAAAATTTACGGCTCTGGAATTAACTAGTTTAGTGAGCGTGTAAGGAATGAAGGTATTAAATGAGATCCATCCTGATCAATAGGAAAGCATTAGGAATATTATTCTTCCTGGTCTGATTGAGCTTCAGACTTTGTTCTATTAACCTTCACTGTATGTACTTCTAATGTATACTTTTGCTCTGAGTTTGTTTAAAATGCCATTTTTGCTATTGGATTGCCATTGTGAGCATGTTGCTGAACAGCAAAAACCTCTGGATCATTGAACTTTCCTGCCTCAAATAGTAACATATCAATTTGTCATTAAATTTGTAGTCCCACGTGTTGCTTATGGCCAGCACACAGTTATGTCTTTCCTCTGAAGCTGCAAGAATCCTTATAGATCTCAGTAATAGACTCCACAAACTGAAGGACTGGATTAGAAGACTTCTATTCAGTGTAGGCACACCTGTTTGATGATTTCTGTGTATTACATGTCACATTATGATCCGTTTCATTAGTAGGCAGGGATGTCATTTTCTGCTTGCATGTTAAAGTCTTGCTGTGCTAGTACTACGTGCTACCCTGTTTTCCATTAGTTTTCCAGTATTTAGTTTTTAGGTGATGTTTGCCCAACATACCTTCAAAAAAATTCTCTTCTAGAATTACTGAGATACACAAATTTGACAGACTTACATTAATAGCCCAGCTTCCCATGACAGTAGTCCTAGTTTGAAATGGGACAATTAGAATATGAATAGACCAAACTGCAGAGCAAGGAGATTTTTTTCCGAAAGGTTCCTCACCATCTGCAACAATGCATTGGACTGAAGCTAATCGTATCTACAAATCAGCATAGGTAGAAAAGCTAGAAAAGGAGATAATGGCAGTTAGAAGTGCTCTCTTCTGTAAAAGATTTAGATTTTTGACATCACCTAAGAGGAAGATGTCAGCCTCATCCTCCACAACAATGAGGGTTTTTTCCCTACAGATGAGGCATGTTGCTTGTAAATTGCATTCTTATATAATTTATTGTGTGGCTTCCAAGACTTTTACCACTGTTAGATAATGTCAACAGGAAAACCAGGTTGTACTATACAAATTAATTGCAAAACCAGAACTTGGATATGCAGGCTGTACTGTAACTACTACAGGGATATGTATACCAAGTTTCTTTAGGCTTATCTAATCGGGAAAAGTAGCTAGTCACCAGGCTGAATTACTGGATTCTTTACCTGCAGGTACAGACAAGTAGAAATTTCTGGACTTGTTCTACATGCACAGGGCAACTACTCCTCTCCTGAGGCTAAATAGAACTTTACAAAGGTGATTTAACATACTCAAAATTTTAGATCTCATGATTGCCTTAAGGTATTGCTCTCAACTTTTTTCTTTTTTTTTTTTTTTTCTGAAACGCAGCAATATCTTAACTTCATTTTGAAAAGGACTTAACTTAAAAGGTCAAATGAGAGCACCACGAATAGTGGTGGAAGTAAATATTAGCCTGTCCTCATACTTCTAGATTTTGGATAATTCAGATAATTAGATTTGCTGTCCATTTATTTACTTGTACTATAACTTAAGGTGTACTGTTTTTATACCATCCTACTTGAAACTAGGTCATGCTCAGCATTTTATCTTACTACCTGCGTTTAGCAAAGCGAACAACCCAAGATAAGTACAACTATCAAAATAGTTAAAATAATTCCATTCCTCCTCATAGCCCATTGTATACTTGAAATTTGGCTTTACTGTCTGGATGCTGTTGCCTATCCAGTTATTTGGAAATCAGAGCATACCATTGTGATATTTGCTGGGATTTTAGAAAAAAAAAAGTCTATCTTAATTCAAAACATTATGTGATTTAAGAAGCTCCTAACATGTTGTTATATTGTGTAAGTGATTGACTTCCACTGTTTTAATAACTTGAATCATGTGTCTAGTTGGAATTTACCTGGTTTTGACTTTCAGCCAGTGCTTTTCATTGGGTGGAAAAAAACAAACTAGCCAGCTGATGTGAAATACCAGTCTAGCCCGTACAGAGGCCCAGCAGTAGGTGCACAAAATCAAGAAACCTGGCTTGGATATCTTTTGAATATCCTCCAGCTGCCCTGAGTCAGTTAGTTAAGTACATTATGAGCCAGCAGTTGCATTTAGGCTGTTGTGTTTAACAGACATCAGTGAATGTATTCTTAATTCATCTGCTTCCTTTTCAAACTAATTTGTATTTGTGTCCTCATAATATCCCACTCTTTCACATACACTTTTTCCCCACTGAATAATTTTGTATTGGTAGCAAACTGTTTATTCCAGAATTACTTCCTCATTTATGAATATATCAAAGAGTAGATAGATTCTTCTGGAGTCCTCTGTTACTTTCTTGCTGTTGTGGAAATGATCAATTGCTATCCTTTCTCTGGTCTTCTAAACCCTGAGTAATCTGAGAGGACTTTCTCTGTGGCAGCTTAGTTTTGTGTTTGGTTGTAGGTGGCTTCTTCGGTGTGGTGTTTTGTTGGCTTTTGGCGGTTTTTTAAGACTAGTTGGAACTATGACTTTCCCACAAAAGCTGGATTAATTCTTCCTGGTGTACCCATATAACCTGTTAGTTTGGGGTTTAGTTATGATTTCAACCAATTTGGACACTGTGGAAGTAAGTCCTGCTGGTAGTTCCTGGATATTCCTAAGGCCTCTGTTTAAAGAAAGAATAAAATAAAAAATGGGGAAATAGTTATTCCTGCGGTGTCAACACCAATTTTGGTGACTGATTACACCTCCAGTTAGTCTTGCAACTTTGTGTTTTAATTTCTCTAGAACTCATGAAAAGTCTTGTATAAATATCAGCTGGCTGTAGTGACTTAGTAATGTTTCCTATATGTATTTGTAGATTGCTGTTCTAAAACCTATTCTACTTCAGTCTGAGATTGTTCTCCAAACCTGTCCCACATAAAGGGTGCCTCTCACATGGGAATGTTCTTCTGCAACGAACTTTTGATGGGGAGGGAAGAGCTATGGCCTTATCTTCCCTGAGTGCCTTTTTTTATGCTTCAGTCACCTATCAGCTGTAGACTCTTTGGCAGGATTCCTGCTTCTGGGTTTATTATTAGTATGTATCCCTTCAGCAAGTTGTTCTCCAGGCTTTCTGGCCTGTCTTGCTGCAGTTCTAACATTTAATTTGCCTGGCTGGTGTATTGGATTTAGTATAAAAATAAAGTATTTGGGGCTTATATACGTGCTAAGATTTCTTGTCGAGTACTTCTCTATTGCATTGCCTGTTCACATTAACAATTAAAGTCTTTGTTTATACCAATTCCCTGTAAAATTCAGATTTTCTTATCACTTATTGATTATCAACAAGGAGTGCTTAAGATGCTGGGAACTGAGATTCAGGAAACTGTCTGACTAGACTCTTCCAAACATTATTAGGTGGACCGTATAATGAATAAGCTCACACATATCAAACAAAATTATCTTTTTTTTTACCTCTATAATAAATATTAAACTGATTATATTAACAATCAAATAATTCAGATGAAAGCAATGTCAAAATTACAAAGGTAACCTTGCACTTCACAATATGTCTAGATCCAGGATGTTTCTGTAACCTCCTGCCTTATTTTTTAGCTACAGGAAGGAATGCTATTTTACCTCAAGTCTTCTGTCTCAGTGTGTAAGACTGACTGTATTGAGTTAGTGCACAAGGTCATACAGAAAACGACTGGGAGGAAAACAAGTGGAGAGAGGACCACACTTCACATTAAGACACTTTAATGTCACAAAGTAGTAGTGGACTCAAACCATAGTTTTGTTACGGTGTCTGTGTAGAGCTTAAAAAAAAAAAATAGAACCAAGTAAACTTACAGAATGGATAGCTTAATTGGATTAAATCCACAGAATCAGTTCTCTAAGGTTTTGCATAGAGCCAGACAAATGTAAAAAAATGTCACCAGAGTTTTGTTTTCAAGGCTTATTTTTTAAACCACAAATTGCAATTTCAGAAAATAGTTCTTGAAGCTTTGACACTAGGCCCTATGGGGCCTATGATGGAAGTTTCTTGCAGCTATTTAGCATTTTTCTAGGTTTTATTTGTCAAAAAAGGTTATAATGTAACATACCATGTAGCAAAGGAATAAATCTCAGTGTCTTGAGCAGTTCCACAAGCCTAAGTTTTATGTTTACCAGCTGAAGCCAGAGTTTGTAAAAGGGTTTGTAACATTGTGACAGGGCTTCAGCTGATCCAGCCTGGAGAGGTTTACTGCAATTGTGATAGTCACTGGTCTTACTGCATTATCAATATCAACAGCTAAGATGTTCTGTTTAACTCCTGCATTTCTAATACTGCTGAAGACTTAATTGTCATGACTTCATTCCTGAAGTTTTACTCATGTCACTATAATTAGCACTTTTACATGTAATCATGTAGTCAACTGAGTTTTGTCTTCACCCCATCCCACATTAGCGTGAACAAGAAAATGCAATGGCTCACCTTAAAAAGCAGCAACAAGAGCTGGAGCACATGAGGTTGCGCTATTTGGCAGCAGAAGAAAAAGAGCTGGGGAAAACAGACCGACAAGAGCTGGAGGATATCAGAAATGAGCTGAACAGGTATAAAAGCATTTGTAAGATTCCTTTTTTTTTTCCTCCCCCCCTCTCTTTTCTTGCTGTCTGTCTCAAAATAGTAGAAGGTTCAGTTAAATCAAGATTATAATTGGCTGTCACTCCAGTGAAAGAACACAGTTTAGTGTCCCTTAGGTAAAGACTGCACATTTATAAAATGCAACAGTACTGCAGTACAGAAAATCTATGTTTAAGGCCACTGTACCCTGTTTTTTATGTTATGGTCATAGTTGTACAGTACCACGCTTTTTTCTATTTTAAACTTTCAGTTCTAAGGATAACTGCTGCATTAAAAAAAGAAAGGGGCATGTACTATTCATATTTCAAATACATTAAAATTTTGAAACTACCTAATGTTGTCCTCCAAAAATTGTCTGCAGTAGTTCTGTGTGTTGAACACTTAATTTACGTACTGTTTGCATTATCAAAATAGGGGCCTTGGTAGGAAGTGTTATAGTTACACATGCATGTAGAAAAGGTATTGTTAGAATTTAAGTATTATAGTAACATTTCTTTTACTTACAGTTGGTTTTGCCTAGAGAGAGGATAATTTGTTACCTTTTATAGATTTCTTTATTTTACTAAGTACTTCAGTAGATAAATAACCTAAGGACTTAATATGAAAATAATCAGAGTGGTTTTTAATATGGCTCGTGCTCTGATTCTTTCCTTTTTATCAACATCAGGCTAAAACAACAAGAAGAAGAGAGAAAGCAATTGCAAGATGTTAGAGATAATTCTGCTGGTAGAGTGGATAGTCTTCATTCTCGAAAATTAAATGAAAACACGGATGATTATCTCTCTCGTCTGATAGAAGAGAGGGATACCCTGTTGAGAACAGGAGTATATAATCATGAAGACCATATCGTAAGTGAACTTGATCGTCAAATCAGAGAAGCTATTGCGAAAAGGAACATTGCTAAATAAAAGCATACAAAAAGTTGTTAAAAAGAGCCAAAAGTGATTTTTATAAACCTATACTACTTTGCAAAATATGTACGGTCATGCTTAGTTTTGCACACTATTGTTAGCTCTTTTTGAAGTCAATGTAAATATTTGCAATGTGTGAAGTTAAGCCCAGTTGTAAGTTTTCTGGGGGCAATGGCTGTTTTTAAACGTTTTTATACTCATATGTAGATATATGTGTAAATATATTTATCTTGTGTACTTTCTTCTGAAATGTTTTCTACCTCTTTTTGCATCACCCTGGCTAGGTTTACTTGTAATATTTTTATTATTCTAATATTTTTGGTCAATGTTGTCATAATTTCTTTCAATTTTTAAAAGGATCTCTTCAGCTGTATGTGGGAGAAGTGGCATCAGCTGTTTTCCCCGGCAGAACTCTTAATTCTGTGCAGCACCAACCAAATGGCACTTTTTTACTAAATTACAAAGTAATCAATTCTTGCTTCTCCAGCTGTAGTTAACATAACTAAGTTCTGTAGTAAATTAAGGGGGGGTTTGGTGGGGGGCAGAACTCTCAAACCCTGTGAAACTGAAACTGAATCAATTAAGTAACTAGCCTGATTGTACAGGATGAAAATCCCTTTGTTGCCCTAGCAGTTTTGCACATAGGCCTGTAAGGGTGAACCCAGGAGGTTAAAGACCTAGTTCAGAAATACACAATTCTTACATCCATCCCTAATGAGGAAAGGTGCTTGAAGCACTAACTCAGTGAATTTATACACTTTAAATTCTGAACACATACATAAAACAAGAGCTTTTTAAATTAAAGATGTTTTCCTTAATCAAGACCTAACCATTTTGCAGTTACTTAACATGTATTTTAAAGTATGTTATCTCATTCCACTTAAATTGTAGGTAAGGTTTTATTTGCTTGTGGCGGTATGAACAGGGTGCAGTCTCAAGGTGTTAAATGCCAGAAGAGAAATCCACAAGAAATGTTAGTTTGTGCATAATCACAGTTGAAAAAGTTTTGGTTTCCAGTCTTCATTCTATTTCAGTATTTTTAAAATAATTTGTGTGGATCTAGCTAATTAACTTACAACACTGTCCTTTCAACAGGCATTTTTGTCTGTCCTGTAGGCACAAATGTTTCTCTATTTGAATGACAAGTACTGAAAACATCTTAGGATTTGTTACTTTTAGAATGAACAAAGATACCAATGCAAAAATTCCCTCTATTTTTTGCTTTACATGAAGTCAGTGAACTTCCATGGACATGGCTGTATACATGTGATCTTCCTGTTTTGTATGGTATTAATTATAAAATTTTTTTCTATATTGTATCTGGCTTTGCCTCTAGGTGCATTGTTTTTCTTCCTCCCTACCATGGGTGTATCTCCTGTTAAATAAACTATTTGTTTAGGCTCCTTAGAAAAGTTTTAAACAAACTGTATAAACAAAGAGATCATATTCTGTGAGGAATTATCACTTATCAATACCAGACTTTGTAAGAAATGCTTCTGTAGTAGTTTGCACACTCTACGGTATTTCTCAGATTAGTGTGCTTCGAGAGATCCCTCTCCACTAACAATGCAAGTAACACCTTCATAAATCCAATACAAATCCATGAAAAGTAATTGTAATTACAATTTTTTTTACATCATGGCTTTGTCATACCACTGGTGCATGATCATATGCAATTATTGTAAATTAATCAGGGAGCTTCTATCTTGACAGGAAGACTTACGCTGTTTTTCTTCAAATGCTTGCTCACTTGCTAGAAGTGTAGTTTCTTCTTCAAACGCTGGATGGTGCCTTACACTTAAAGATCACAAAGATTGTGTTGACTAAATTTTCGTAACTGGTGATTTTTTTTGAAGTGGTATTCTATGACTTTTCAGGTGTGTTACTTTATTAAATAAAATTCAAATTTTAAGTAAGTATTAAGGATTTTGTGTTTATTTTTTGACTGTATTTGAACAAAAATTTTTGTTTCCTATTTGTGGTAATATGACAGTCTTTAGTGTTTGAATCCGTAGAATTGGCAAGTTCACTTTCAAAGTTAATTTCACATTTTAATTTCTAACTGAGTCTCTTCCATGGGTTGTAAAGCAAATGGCAGTGGTGTTGCTGCAGGGTTTAAAAAGAAACTACTAGGATGAGCTTTCTAGTAAATAAAAGTATTGAGTAAAATAAAGGGTAGGACACTTATGTTTTTAAACAAAACATTTATGTTTTAAACAAAACATTTGTAAGCCTGATAATTTAAGCTATTTGGTTCCATTTTGTCACTTGAAAGATCACTACTTACAAGGTGAGAAGCATGAATTTTGTGATTATTGAAAAATTTATTTAGCATTTTTGTTTTGTTATATACTCATTAGTCTTAGTGTTCATTGTTTGTGTTAGAATGAGAAAGTGAATAGTACTTTAAGCTTAATATTTCAGTTTTGGTTTTTTTCCAGCACAATTTGTCTATGTGCTTCAGTCTGAAGTACTCTAGAAACAAAATCTGTACTTCTGTAGATATCTGTAGCAGAGATAAGCTCAATATTACTCTTTTGTTAAAAAAAAGATTTTTATGTTGGGTTCCATTTGCCTTTTTATTCTCTCAAAACCATTTTAAAGTTCATAGCTCTTCATTGTAAAGACCAAATACTGGTTTTTAATCAAAAATCTCTTAAAATTTTTATCTTAATCTCTCTTCATGGCAAAAGAAATGCCATTTGAAACAGATGCATGAGGTAACAAGCTTATTTTCATTTACCCAGCATAAAAACTGCTGGAAATGAAACCTGTGTTTACAGGTTCAGTCCTGATTCAGTACACCTTAGAAAAGGGGGTGGGAAGAGGAACAACAGCTAGGCCTTCCTGGCATTCTGGCAAACTTGCTGCTATTGGTTTTAGTGCACCCAGATTTCACTAGGGAAGTTGATGGAATTATTTCAAAACAAGTACTCTTACCAATATGTTTCCATGAACCCAAATGCCCATAAAAATTAGGAAATGGGGGGGGGGGGGGGGGGGGGGGG